AGAGCGCGGGAGAAGGCGTCCCGCCCACGGCGCCCCGCCCCCGCCACCTGGGGAGCCCCGCCCCCGCCACCTGGGGGAGCCCCGCCTCCGCGGGCGTGGCGCGGACAGGGTCGCCCGAAACCGCAGCCCCCATCCCCCCGTTTCCTCCCGGAGTGGCAGCCCTTCGTCGCCCCTCTCCATTTCCGGCGCGAGACCCCTACCCCGGTCCCCGTGCACCTCACGCGCCCGCAGTCTCGGGCCTTCGGGGGCTGAGTCCCTCGCGGCCGACAGTCCCCTCCGTGACCTCGCGCCGCCGGGGCGCAGCTGCGGGTGGTCTCAGGGTCCGCGCCCACGCCCCGCTCCACCCGCCAGCTCCTCGCGGCCAATCCGCCGCTGTGTTCCAAGCCACGCCCTGATCCGACCGGGCTCCCACCGCCGGGACCCCAGCCCCGCCTTGGCTTCTCCAGCCTGGAGCTACTGTGCGCCAGGGCCTCCCTTGCTCCGCAAACCCCTCCGGCCCCGGCTGACGGGCCAGCCTGCCACACTCGAGTTGCTTGCAATCCTGCCCCCACGTTCCCCCCGCCCGGCAGCGCTGCCCACTGCCCGGCCCAGGCCTGAGCATACAGACCCATTGTCCCAGTTATCTGCACTTTGTTACATTTGTTTGATTGTGCAGGTCTGGATTGGAGACACGGAACTCCGGGAGGGCCGAGCCAGCGTGACTCAGCCTGGAGCCCAGGCCCAGCCCCGACTGCCCGTAGGTGCTCAGGGGTGTTTGGGGATGACAGAAAGGGCACCTTGGTTTCTCTGGTGGGTAAAATGGGGCCAGAAGATGCTGCCCTCACTGACCTCTCCCCTGTCACTCTCCCCTGTCAAAGAAAGACATTCAAGGGTATAAAGGACACATGGTTTATTCAGAGGCCACCAGACTCTGGGCACCACCAGGATGTCGAGTCTGGGCTGCCCACCCCCTCCAAGAGCTGGTCACTTAGGCTCAGCTAGAAGCAGGTGGAGGTGGGGGAGTGGCCACAACCAAAGTAGCAAAAGGCACCCCTGTTCCAGGGGTCAGAGACTAGGGTGGACCCCAAGGATCCTGTGAGTTGTATTGACCCTGAGTATTGACCCTGAGTGACCTCTGAACCTGAGTAGGCCTGATGCTTGGTAGTGACCTGTGTCCAGTTGGGGGTATCCTCGTACATGGCCCCAAAAAGGGTTTTAGTCCTCCCCCAGGCCGTGTAGTCTTTCCTTATAGGAACTCTCCAGACCCCCACAACATTGCACTCCTGGGAAGAAGTGCATCCATCTTCTTGGTCCTGGGCCCCTTGGTCAGAGTGCTGGGATGGTCAGAGATGGTCCTCAACTTCTTCAGGTTGGGGGTCCGGGCAGCAGGTGGCCTTGGGCACAGCCTCACTGGGCAGCTTGGAGAGTAGCCGGGCTGTCTCCTGGGTGATCTCAAAATGCTTGGGCAGTGGGGTGCGGCGCAAGGGGCTGCCCTCAGGGGAGGCGGTGGCAGGGCCAGGCCCCCGCCTCCGCAAGCTCCCTGGGGGTGTGACAGGGGTCTCCTCGCACAATTTAGAAGCCACCAGGGCCAAGCTGGATAGTTGGTGGGTGACAGGCCGCACGCCTCCCCGGGGATACTTCACTGGCTGGCGGCTGAAGTGGCCACGGGACTGTGTCCCCAGAAGTGAGTCCTCGGGGCCTTGGCTGGGCACTGTGGGATGGGGTAGTCAATGTTGAGCACACCTAAGTCCTCTGGATATCCCTCCGGGAGTCTCTCTCAGCCAAGCCTACCCTGGGGGGGCAGGGGCACCCCCAGAATTCCTTGGCTACTGCCCAACACACTCACCTTCCTCTCCTTCATCTTTGGTGTCTTCAGCCACTTCCTCTCTCTGGGCACTCTGTGGAGTTGGAATCTGCGGGGAGAAACCCAAGACCAAGACCCCAACGATAAAATCCCAGTTCTTTGAGACTCTTGGAGAGTTTGTCCCTGGTATGCAAAAGTTCCTTTGCAGTTTTGGTGTCTGGGGAGAGACAATGCCCTTCACAGTGTACTGCTTGTCCCCCTGTGCAGAGCAACGTCATTAATCTCAACTATGGGCTCTGGGAGGGCAGGAATGCTCCTGTTCAGTAGAGGGCCAGCCAGGGGAGTGATTGAGCCATATGCGAATTAGGACCTGGTGAACCACCCGTCTCCATCCTGCTCTGCTCTCTGCAACCTTCGCCAGATTTTTAGCTGTATGTTCTCACTGTTCTTCCTTTAGCTAAATGCTAATAGCAGCTGGAGTTCTTTGTAAGTGTCAGACACTGTCCTGAGCACTTTCTGAGCCATTCCAGTTCTCAGAGTCCCACAGCTCACCAGTGCCCCTTCCCCAGCTCTGGGCTGCTGTGGGGGAGGTCTGCCCTCTCAGGATGGTGGGTGTAGCAGAATCTGAGGGATGGCAAAGCCCCCTTGGTAGTCTCATTGTACGTGATTTTCACTAACAGTACCTTTCAGGGCTGTGGTGAGGAGGACAGGAAGCCTATAAAGCGCCCATGCATAGTAGGCGCGCAGACAATGGCAGCTGCAGACCCCTCTTTGGCCTCACTTCCAACCACCTTCCCCTCACTGGTTTATTACAGTGCGGGGCTGTGCCCTGAATGCACCAGGCATGTTCCCACCTCAGGGCTTTTGCACTGGCTTTTCCTTTTGCCAGGAACACCCTTCCCCTGAATTCTGCCAGGCTTCCTGCTCCCTTACATCCTTCCAGTCTTTGCTCAAACCCATCTCCTCCATAAGACTCACCCACACCATCCCATTTACTGCTATAGACTGTCCTCCATCTCTCACCTTGGTGCCCTCGAGGTCGCTTAACTTATACTACTCTTCCTTTTTTCCATAGTTCTCGTCACCTTGTAACATCCTATGTAATTGACTCTGTATCATATTTCCTGTTTATTGTTGGTTTCTTTCCCACTAGAATGCAGGCACCAAGAAGATGGGGTCTTTGAATATTCTGTTCACTGATGGATCTGTAATGCCTAGAACAATGCTTGGTACATGGTAGGTGTTCAATAAATATTCCGTTGAAGGAATGCACTGTCACCCACATTGTTACCTCTGCAGGGCTGCACCCTGCTGTTACTTCATTATTACCCACCACTCCATTTCTCACTTTTCCTTCCAGAACGAGCACAGGGTAAATAAGGAAGGGAGGGAGGGAGGGAATGAAAGAAAAATTTTTAAAGCGAGAGCAAGGAAGGCAGACAGGAGAAAGTGAGAGGATTAAATGGAGAGAAGGCTCTCCCCGTGTCAGTAGACCTAGCAGGTTCCTACCTCAGGGGGTATGGCCTCCGGATGCTTCTCCAGGGCACCATGGGACTCAGGCTCTGCGGCAGGGTCTGAGGTGAGGGCTAGGGGCAGGGGGTTCAGGGCAAGGTGTAGGGGTGGCAGCTGGGGGCTGGTTGTGAGGGGCCCAGGGGCTGGGCTGGGGTCTTGGGGTGGGGGTTCAGTTGCCAGGGGGAGCTCATCCATCCCGAAGATCTGCTCGTAGTGCACAATGAGGAGCTCCACAAGCTGGGCCTGGTGCCCAGAGTCCAGCAGGCAGGTGACAGGGCCGGCCCCCACTACTCCTGGACCATCCGGCGGCCGCAGCAGCGTCGGCCCAAACACAATGCCTAGGTTGTTGGCAGACATCTTGTTTTCCTCGAACTGTGCAGCCACCCTGGGGACAGTGTGAGGAGAAGGGTCAGGGCATGGAGTGCACAGTCACTGGTCATCGAGTAGGACCTGCAGGCCAGGCTAGTGGCAACTTGCCCAAGTCCTGGTCATTGTTTGAGACCAGCAACTACATGCCTGGCGATGGAGGTCAGGGGTCAGCACCCAAAGTCAGGAGTCATGTGTTAAGCTTCAGAGCTCAGAAAACACATGCAAAGGTCAGAGGTCAGTGTCAGGTCAGTCCCAGGGGTCAGTAGTAACAGGTCTGGGGAATGGGTCACAGATCTGTGCCTCAGGTCAGAAGTCACATTTCACGGTCAAGGACAGTGCACACCTGAACAGATGGGCCACCAGGTGCCGCAGGGTGTTGTAGTTAGAGTCAGGCAGCTGCACCAAGAGGGTCTTCAGCGAGCGGATAACCTCAGGGCTGGGGCTGGGGGTCCCGGGGTCGAGCCCAGGGTCTGCATGCAGGGTCTTAGCCAGA